CTGTCCCCTCTTAATCTGTCAAAGCTGGTTATTGTAACATTGGGTTGGAGGTGTATATCCCAAATCCACTCTGGTATTACACCTGCCAAGCGTTTTCATTTACCGCTGAGGTGACAGCGGAATATTGCTGAGTGCAGCGTTAAACAAAAATTAACCAATTATGTGGATCGATGCTCATGATGTCAATCACTGGGATGTTTGGTCCAGACTCGATTATTTACAGACCACTGACATAAAGTTGGAATTCTGTTGAGTGTTGCGTTAAACAAACCAGACAATCAAGTGATTGACCAGAAACTCCAGTGACACGAAAGCGCATTTACTGATTTTGTTGAAACTAAATACAAAATATTTATTTTCATTCTACCATGAATTTGGAATTTACTCGATCCTGATTGGTCAATCAGAGGCTATTAAATCACAATAAACCCCCTCTGATTGAAACAGCTGGTTTGACGGCCGCTTCACCGCGGAAGCTAATATTTATAGAATAGTACTTTTTTCAGTCATTGTCGGTAGGCATATTTAAATAATTATAGCTTGGAATTTTGGCGCTTTTCTATATACGACTGTGGTGTCATATCTTTTGCGTCGCAATGAGCGACATGACGTCATAATGGTGACGTGCGATGTAGAGCGAAATCCTTGCAAAGCTTGCTTTGTTTTCTTTAGGGATGCCCACCTCATGTTAGCTTACCAAGTTGCCGTGCTTATATGCTTTCGATGCCTGTCATATGTTCGAGTGAAGTATTAGGGTGTAAACAAACTGCTTGAGTATATACAGCGCCATATGTTGTTCGGTGATTCCGTAATTAAGATCGATAACCCACTCAAAACACTGGACTCAAACCATGCCGCTTCACTCAGTATAGTTGCTAACACCAAAGAGTTCGCGTTTTATTTAGTCGTGGTAGAATGGAGATAAACATACTGTGTTTTCAATGTAGAGCTAGGTTACCTGTAGATTTAACCGCGTTAAATTTAACATTTGAAACCTCACGTTGCGCGTTCGGTTCAATTTAGCACGGTTAAATCTACAGGTAACCTAGCTCTACATTGAAACACAGTATGTTTATCTCCTAGTTTACTACTGCAGTGTACAAGTGTAGATATTCTACTGCTTACAAGTAAGGAAAAGCGTTCCTTATTTCCAACACATTGTGGGGGCAGTTTAAATGTTTCGGACCAATATTTCTCTAGTTGGTTGGTTGGTTTGTTGTTTAACCCCGCACTAATCAATATTCCAGCTATATTACGGCGGTCTGTAAATAACCCAGTCTGGACCAGACAATCCAGTGATAATTGTCATGAGCATCGATCCACGCAATTGGGATCGATGACATGCATCAAACAAGTCAGCGAGCCTGACCACCCGATCCCGTTAGTCGCCTCTTACGACAAGCATAGTCGCCTTTTACGGCAAGCATGGGTTGCTGAAGACCTATTCTACCCCGGATCTTCATGGGTCTTCAACATATGACCTTCTGAAGTGTGTTAAGATTAGACTTTCGTTCTGACTGTGTTTTTTATATTCAATGTTACATTCTATGAAAACCACTCGTGTGCTCTTTACACATGAATAAAGTAAAAAAGGTACTTACTTTACATAACATGAACTATTAGGGTGATAAGAGCTGAAAACTACTATGATATATTTTATATTCTTAAGACAGATAATGTTCTCTGAACATCCACAAGAATTGCGACAGAATGTTTCATGAATGCACACTCACACACTATACTTGTACAAACGTCACATTGTTTAAATGCTTTAACTTCCACGGCTTTCTCACGCTAGCTGTACCAGAATGTACTAGAACGCTAACAAAAGATGGCTAACGGATAAGAGCTTTGAGAGTATGCCTGAGGCAATCATCCGAGTCATGCGATCGGATTGTATTGTCTTACAAATGGCCCAGCGAGGAGGCAATTCCGGGATGGCAAAGGTCTTCAATGTATTTGATGGTACTACGAAAGAGGTCTAATTATCTTCTGGATGGTTAATCTCATAAAGAACTCTTCCAGTAAGTAGTTCAATCTGTACATGTATACAGTAGAGGCCGATTGACTCCGTACCGTACTGTTCAAACAGAGCTACCTTCTTCCTGCTGTGAACTTGATCTCCTGGACGAGTACTATTTGTTTGTTTGTTGTTTAACGTCGCACTCAGCACTATTCCAGCTATATGACGGCGGTCTGTAAATAATCGAGTCTGGACCAGACAATCCAGTGATTAATGTCATGAGCATCGATCCACGCAGTTGTGATCGATGACATGCGTCAACCAAGTCAGCGAGCCTGACCACCCGATCCCGTTAGTCGCCCCTTACGACAAGCATAGTCGCCTTTTACGGCAAGCATGGGTTGCTGAATGCCTATTCTACCCTGGTTCTTCACGGGTCGATAATTGTTGTAATCCGTGAAGATCCGGGGTGGAATAGGTATACAGCAACCCATGTTTGCCGTTAGAGGCGACTAACGGGATCGGGTGGTCAGGTTCGATGACATGGTTGACGCGTGTCATTGTATCCCAATTGCGTGGATCGATGTTCATGATGTCAATCACTGGATTGTCTGGTCCAGACTCGGTTATTTACAGACCGCCGTCATATACAGTCATGTGCAACTTATATTGGCCTACCCAGCAATTACGTCGTTCGTGTAACGTTCAACTCGCTTCTTTGAAGCGCTCGCGTATTGCCACCGGACGTCGTATAATTATTTTAGTGGGTGCATTACGTCACACATCACGTGGCTGTCACGTGAGACGTTCTGAACTTGTCGTCTGCTGCTTTTGTCGACTGAGTGACCGAAAAGCCGAGATGGGTCGAAAAAGTAATGAGCCAGGCGTGCCTCTCAAAGTCATAATTGCAGAAAATTTTGAAAGCGGTAGAAGTCAGAGACAAATTGCTGATCTCTTGAAGATTCCTCGATCTACAGTTAGTTATATTGTTCATAAATATTGCCGCACTGGATCCGTCGAAAATCTACCTCGGAGAGCACGAAGAAAATCCATTGATAGACGTGATCGCACCTCGTTAATTGGACTCGCGAAAAATAATCGACGAATGACTTTGAAGGAAATTACCAGTGAATTTAATTCAAATAAGGATCAAGTTTTTTCGGAACGAAGTGTCCAGCATCATGCAGCATGCATTGCACTCTGAAAGATATTTTAGACGAATTGCTAAGAAAAAAAATGGTTGTGCGCCAGGTGAATAGAATTAAACGTGTTTCATGGTGTAAAGAGCGGAGAAAAGAAAGTGTAGATAATTTCTGGAAAAAAGGTGATATTTTCAGACGAAAGTAATATTGTTATTGGTACTGACAACCGTGTGTATGTATGGAGGAAGTCCGATGAAGAAGACAGGCCAGAATGTCATTCGTGACCAACTCGTGTTATTCCGGGACAAGCCGAATAGCGACTAGTGCCCCTCTCGTAGCCATTTTTTGCGACTGGGTTCCGTCGTTGCGTAATGATTCACGTAAATTTCCCATATGTCATATATATTCCAGATGCATATATTAAGACACATTGGATCTTAAGGTATTATACAGTATGATTGAACACATTTAATTGTGTCTTGTGTATATTTTTAGATGCAAGACATATGTAAAATCAAAAATTATATTTGAGGGATTCTTTGACGAAGAACTTGAAATCATACGCGCATTCTGATTGGTTTGTCGTGTTTTCGCACATAACATTCATCGATAGGGGGACGAGTCTTCTTGCAGTTTACGGAAAGGGGCGAGTGGTGACGAATGGCCAGAATGTGTGTGCCCACGCAAGGGACGTAAGGTGTCTTTGATGATATGGGGTTGCGTCACTTTTAAGGGTGTCGGAACTTTAGTTCCCGTAGAAGGAAATATAAATGCTGACAAATATATATATGGACGTAATTGACACTAATTTGTAACCAGTTATTGTCCGTCATTTTCCCGACGGAGATTATGTCTTCCAAGACGATATATCCCATGTCAATGACGTCACTACACCTGATGAACTTTTCAACGAGATCCATGCATATTGGCAAAATATACCGCTTGAGTATGTTCAAGTATTATATTCGACGATTCCGAAGCATATTTTGCATGTTATAAAGATGAAAGGTCATCTCACAAAATATTAAAGTCATGTGACAAATAGATTAAGTTATTGACTTTGAAAGACGAGGTTGCTAATGTAAACAATGCGCCGCCATTTTGAAGGTGGGCCAATATAAGTTGCACATGGCTGTAGCTGGAATACTGCTGAGTGCGGCGTTAAACAACAAACATCTCTAAGATGTTCCTAGAATACGGAACCTAAATATTCTGTTCTCTTCTTGAAGAGATAAAACTCTGAACCGGGTACACGAGTTATGACTTGTCTACCCATTTCACCTGTAAGCTGTACAAAGAATACGAACCCAAATACACTGTTCTCTTCTCAAAGGATTTAAACATCAAACTTTGCACGAGGAAATAACGTGTCTACCCGCTTCATCTGTAGGATCTGTAGGAGTGCGTGAGTTGGGTTTAACGCCGCTTTTAACATTATTCCAGTTATATCACGGCGTGTCAGCTTAATGTGGCAGGAAAGCCCGAAGTAATGCAGGTCCCAGACGTTTACCACTTCGGCGAAACCCTCGAGCACGGGTATGGTGCTGACAAACCAAGAGACATAACAGGGCTGACAGTCATCAAGTGTACCCTACTGGTCATTCTTGTATGCTTTGTTGTTTGTTTAACGCCGCACTCAGCAATATTCCAGCTATAAGACGGCGGTCTGAAAATTACGCGTCTGGACCAGACAATCCAGTGATTGACATAATGAGCATCGATCCACGCAATTGGGATACGATGACATGCATCAACCAAGTCAGCGAGCCTGACCACCCGATCCCGTTAGTCGCCTCTTACGGCAAGCATGGGTTGCTGAAGACCTATTCTATCCCGGATCTTCAAGGGTCTATATACTTCATAAGAAAAATATATACTTTATAAGAAACGCTTACCTGTCGCAGGAATTTCAATGCTTTGTGAATCTGATTGGGAAAACACAGCTTGGAGAAATAGTCCCAGTATAAGCATTGTTGATAAGTATGAATCCCTATTTTCGAGTAGTGGACTTGTGTGATGACTCTTACATTCCAGGCTGATGGTTAAGTGATACGATCACTTGTTGTGTCCTTTAACTGTACAAGTCGACAGCAGTCTCTCTGACATATATCATACTCGAGAATGTAATACTGGAATATCAACAGTCGGGCTTCTTGGATTCCGCGTTGATGAGTTGGTCAATGACTGTCCATGGACTATGGCAGTCAAGAACGAATACACGTTGATCAATGAACCTTGTCGAACGTATAGTCAGGAGTCATCAGGCCACTATTTTACCATTCTCTGGTCTTAAAGTCTACAGGACGACACTCTGTGAGCCCAGTCTGGGATTGTCATCCTTGGACTGCGTATTCCTGTTGACAAGGCCTCTGGCACGAAACTATTGACACTATATTAAACCAAAGGCCATCCTCTAAAAGTATGGGATCAACATCAATGTATGTTATTGCGACTCGATCGCTGTACGACGGGGGTGTGGATAATGATACAATATCTGGATAAAGACGCCTTGCCGAAGATAACATTATGCATTACGGAGGCGTCAATCAAACCTGTCAATCAAATACCCAGGGATAGAGCACGGCAAACCAGAGCCAATAAGAAAGTAGCTATCGACCCTTGCATGCAGCTAGTCAGTGTGGAAGCTGTATGGAGCCGTTTACAAGATGGATCATATTGTACTCTAATGTTTATTTGTGATGGCGACCAGTGAAGAGCCGGGGTAGAATAGGTCTTCAGCAACCCAAGCGTGCCGTAAAAGGCGACTGTGCTTGTCGTAAGAGGCGACTAAAGGGATCGGGTGGTTAGGCTCGCTGACTTGGTTGATGCATGTCATCGATGCAAATTGCGTGGATCGATGCTCATGATATCAGTCCCTGGATTGTCTGGTCCAGACTCGATTATTACAGACCACCGTCATATAGCAGGAATATTGCTGGACGACAGTATTTCTGGGATGGAAGTGTCTGGAAAGTTGTTCCCCATAGATGTAGCCGGGCTACGCAGATAAACGCAGTGGTCATATGAGATATATGACAATGGGTATTAGGGGAAAAGGTACAGATAATGGACGTGAGGATTGTGAGAATATGCGGGATATACCAAACTTAACCCACCTGTTCGTAAAATGGACTGGGGACTATTCATGGTGTCATCTGTATTAAAATTTGGACGAATATTTTAAAGCTATTACATTTTATCAACATCCTTAAAGAGGCTGTACATGAAGCTGATATCTCATTAAAGAAATAAACCATTCCCGCACATCGTTCATGTCTTAAATATTGAGAAGTAGTATAAGTATTCGCAATGTGGATTTATCATTGCCAATCGGCTTCTGTGTAGAAAGTAATGTATAAACCTTTTCACGTGTCAAAACAGTTCACGTTGCTTTACTTTTGTACTTGTAACGTTATGAAATTCACTATGTGTTAAAACCTGTGTGAGCGTTCATTTTTTTTAAAAAAAGGTTTACCAGCCACTAGGAGGTTACGTTTGATAACATCTGTCTTTTTACAAAGGACTAAGTTTAAACCGTTATTCATTGTTACCTTCACACGAACAATATTAATTTTGAGTCATACATATTTAGCGAATATAAAACTTTGCGTCGTGAAGAACTCGGTTTACGAATGCAATGGGTGAGTGTTGTTTTACACCGCAACCAGCAACCATGGCGACCTGGGAGTATAGCAGTCAAACCATGTGTTGACAGGGATTCTGGCACAGATTGCATAATGCTTGCCGACTAAGCTGAGGATCGGATGGTCGCACTGACGAGAAAACTGGTTTGTTTGAAAATTTAAAGATTTTTGGTATGGTTTGTTGTTTAACGCCGCACTCAGCAATATTCCAGATATATGACGGCGGTCTGTAAATAATAGAGTCTGGACCAGACAATCCAGTGATTAATATCATGAGCATCGATCCACGCAATTGGGATCGATGCGAGCATCAACCAAGTCAGCGAGCCTGACCACCCGATCCCGTAAGTCACCTTTAACGGCAAGCATGGGTTGCTGAAGACCTATTCTACCTCGGAATCTTCACGGGTCCAAACCAATCTATAGATTATCCCAAATTCAAATGGTTCTTCAAAAAGCTTCTTTCTGCAGCTTCGCCTTAACGTTTCAAATTATATTGAGTGAGTGAGTGAGTAAGTTTGGTTGGCGCCGCTTTTAGCAATATTCCCGCACAATATTAACCACTAGGCTACGCCAGTGCCACTTCGAATCTCAACCAGGTTCTTATAATTGTTTGAGCATCATTCCACGATCACAGGCAATCAACCACTTGCAAATAACGGAGCTTGACCACTCGATCCCATCAGTAGCTTCCAACAACCATAGGTTGCTGGGGACCTGTATTCTTACCCGTAATCCCCACGGCCAGACAAGCATTGGTTGTTGAGGACATACTCGTTCCTGGAATCCCACAGGGAAACAAGCATAGGTTGCTGGGGACATTTATTCTTACCAGGAATACCCATGGGGAGACAAACATAGGTTGCTGGGGACATTTATTCTTACCAGGAATACCCATGGGGAGACAAGCATAGGTTGCTGGGGACATTTATTCTTACTAGGAATACCCATGGGGAGATAAGAATAGGTTGCTGGGGACATTTATTCTTCCTAGGAATACCCTTTGGGAGACAAGCATAGGTTGCTGGGGACCTATATTCTTTCCCAGAATCTCCCCAGGGAGACAAGCATAGGTTGCTGGAGACCTATAGTCTTACTAGGATTACCCACGGGGAGACAAGCATGGGTTGCTGGGGACCTATAGTCTTACCCGAAATCCCCACAGGGAGACAAGCATGGTTTGCTGGGGACCTATATTCTTTTCCAGAATATCAACAAGCGTAGCAATTTGATGCACAACAGGTATGTCAAGTACGTTCACACCTCTATTCACACAGCTCATATCTAATTTTTTTTAAAAGACGTGTTCTCACACTATTGCACAAAGACTAACGACCTAATTACGATCATATTCTCTTTGGGTAATTGATTTGTATCTGTTTTGTAGATTGAATGCAAACGCTCCAAGTTTCGAGAACTCTGTGGAATAATGGCTGCTCCCACCATATACACCTGCACCGTGTTATCATCACATTACTTGCGTAGACAATAAGGAAATTTATTTCAAGCGAGGCTCTTTTCGAAAAAGTCATGTTGCGTGTCGTGCGTTTAAACAAACATTTCCCAAAAGATTTTACCTTGCAAACAGAGTTGTATGAAGCAATTTAAAAACCTTTTCCCCGACGTACAAAAACTAATAGAGCATTGTTATCGACATCATTAAAATTTAAATTCAATCGGTTTGTCAGCACCATACGCAAGCTCACAGTTTCACATGGGCGACCCGCATCACGTCGGGGTTTCCTCCAACATTAGGCTGACACTCACTGCTATAACTGAAACACTGTTTGAAGCGGCGTTAAACCCAACTCACTCACTTTACGTTTTGTATTCTCATCTTTTGATTATACATAAAACATTAAATTAGCTTTACGCCTATCTCATTCAACCTCTGCTAGAGTCAGCTGTGGAGATACCTCTCCCGTCACGTACGCCGGGTGTGAGAAGCAGGATAGGCCATGCCCATCCGTTCCGTGAACACCCGGTGTCATCTAAATGCGGACCCGAGAAGATCCGGGGTAGAATAGGTCTTCAGCAACCCATGCTTGCCGTAAAAGGCGACTATGCTTGTTGTAAAAGGCGACTAACGGAATCGGGTGGTCAGGCTCGCTGACTTGGTTGATGCATGTCATCGATCCCAATTGCGTGGATCGATGCTCATGATATCGATCACTGGATTGCACTCAGCAATATTCCATCTATATGACGGCGGTCTGTAAATAATCTTATCTGCCTGTCCAAGAGATCTCAAAAGTGTTGAATTAGATTCACATCCGGTGTACATGGAGGGCGTGACAGGACAATTCGTTCCCAATGGGGTTTTGCGTTGTCGTGTTCCGTGGGTCCGTCCATGTAAGAATGACAATGCAACTAGCTGGAGAATTTAACGGGTGGCCTAGTCGTCTGAGGCACCGTGATTCGCTGTACAGAGTTGCGTCCCTTAGGCACGCCAGAAACCTATGATTGTGCGTTCGAATCCAGGTTCGCCCCGATTATGTTTCTAGGTTTGTCAGCACCATACCCGTGCTCGTGGGTTTCACCGGAGTGGTAAACGTCTGAGACCTGCATCACTTCGGGCTTTCCTCCCACACATTAAGCTGACACGCCGCGAAAGAACTGGAATACTGTTAAAAGCGGCGTTAAACCCAACTCACTCACTCACTATATGGATGGATCTCTTGAATGTATCCAGCTGCCTCTTGTATACACGGTTTCTTCAATCAAGCCCATGCTGAGCGAAGACCTGTGACAGTCATTTCGCTGCCAACGTCATACAGTTCCGGCTCATTGCATTTCGAGACGTTATTGCATGAAAACGACGTTATGCTCTTATACCTGCAGCACGTTTACGTCGACGTATGTAGTGATCCAATGCCGTTGCTGCCGACACGCACACGTTGCGTCTTCTTGTTGAGTTGTGACAGCTGTCTTCCTGTCCTGTCTGTCTGTAACGTTGGTTGGTTTGTTGTTTGACGCCGCACTCAGCAATATTCCTGCTTTATGACGGCGGTCTGTAAATAATCGAGTCTGGACCAGTCAATCCAGTGATTGCTATCATAAGCATCGATCCTCACACTTTGGGTCAATGACATGCATCAACCAAGTCAGCGAGCCTGACCACCCGATCCCGTTAGTCGCCTTTTACGGCAAGCATGGGTTGCTGAAGACCTATCCTACCCCGGATCTTCACGGGTAATTGGAAATGTGCGGACATCGGTTGCCTATAGTAGGCAAAGGTTCATGCGATATGCACCCACATATACGCAATGCCGACAGCACACTTTCCTTGTCACGGTAACTTGCTCCGGTGATAACCGTGGCATTTGTCTTGAGTGTCTTTGGTAACTGCGGTATCACAGAATGGTAACGTCCAATTCATATGCCATGTATGCGCGTGCATTTGGTTCCAGCTTTGTAAAATCTGTTAAAATTTTCTCGGGCGTGCACAGAATTTACTCATTCGCGCTGCAAGTCGCCCTGTTCACCTCGGTAGTGTTTGGACGAATGTGAGAAGTTTCTTTTACGCGTCAGTCCAGTCACCGAAACTTCATTTTTTTAACTTGCAATTATACATTATTTCACAATGCCATAGGACAACGATATAATCAATTATATTGGTTGGTTGGTTTCGCCGCACTCAGCAATATTCCAGCTATATGACGGCGGTCTGAAAATAATCGAGTCTGGACCAGACAATCCTGTGATTGACATCATGAGCATCGATACACGCAATTGGAATACGACGGCGTGCATCAACCAAGTCACCGAGCCTGACCACCCGATCCCATTGGTCGCCTTCTACAAGCGTAGTCGCCTTTGACGGCAAGCATGGATTGCTGAAGACCTATTCT